AAAAAAATGTAATAAATAATTCAAAAAAATGTAATAAATAATTTAAAAAAAATCGAATAAATAAGTTTAGAAAAAATGTAATAAATAATTTAAAAAAATGTAATAAATAATTAAAAAAAAATGTAATAAATAATTTTAAAAAAAATGTAATAAATAATTTTAAAAAAAATTTAATGAATAATTAAAAAAAAAATGTAATAAATAATTCAAAAAAATGTAATAAATAATTTAAAAAAATGTAATAAATAATTTAAAAAAAAATGTAATAAATAATTAAAAAAAATGTAATAAATAATTTTAAAAAAATGTAATAAATAATTTTAAAAAAATGTAATAAATAATTCAAAAAAATTTAATAAATAATTTTAAAAAAATGTAATAAATAATTTTAAAAAAAATGTAATAAATAATTTCAAAAAAAAATGTAATATATAATTTAAAAAAAAATTTTTAATATTATAAATATTTAAAAAAATTTACAAATAATTTAAAAAAATACAAATAATTCAAAAAGCAAATTTTAAAAGAGTTTTAAATCTTTTAAAAGAATATAATATTTAAACAAAATATATTAAAAAAAAAAAACAAAGAAATATTTTCTTTAGTCTACGTTAAAAATTCTTATCCGCTTCTTATCACAAGATCATTGATTAGTCCCCAAGCACTGTGAAAACTGCTGAAGTCACAGCACTATTATAATTATAGGCCGGTTATTAAATTTTTTTATACCATTGCCTACCTTTAGGCGTCTTATTATACACAATTGCAGTTCGATCGAAACACACCAGCAGCCACCTAAAAAATTTCAAAATTCGTCGCCAAAAACAACGCAGTGCGTTAAAACTTGTTAATATACATATTTAAAAAATTAATGCTATGAATTTTGGTAAAATTATAATTTCTACAAATTTTGGTTCAAAAGTTTTAATATTATTGCCATAAACATAGCTATAAATCCTAATTCTTGGCATGTTCACATCAAATTAGCGGAAAAGCAAAATCAGCCTAAATGTATGCAACAGAATGAAAGAAAATGCATTGCTTACCAAATAATGAGGTTTAGAAATAATATATTAGAAATGAAGACTTTCTCAATTGCAATAGGAACAGCTTTGGTTCGCTTGCTCGTTTTAAATTCAAAACATTAATCCCAAAAGTATGCAAGAAAATGTGTGAAAGTGCACAACATAAATATATACCTAATCTATCATGAACAGAAGTTTGAGCTACAGCAGTTTTCTGTAGACAAGTTCACACATCCATTGAAAAACTTCTTCGCAGATATTCAAGAACGTAAAATCAAAATATTTACACAATAAAATGCATTAAAGGTATTTTATATTGAGAAGTAATGTAGCCCAAAAAATTTCACTATGACATACAAAAAATGAGGACTCGAAAAAATGCTTGATTCACAGCAAATCGCCTAGAAATCAAAAACAGCCCAAATGTAGGCAAGCAAATGCATTAAAGGCAGTAGTTAAAAGGTAGTGTGACTCTAAAAATTTTCAATATGATATATAGTCTTCGAAATTGCATAAGAAGCGGCTTTGGTGGACATGCTATCTTGCAATATAATAAAAAAAAATAGCCTAAAAGTATGCAAGAAAATCGGTGTAAGTGCATATTTTGAACAGAACCTTAATTTTAAGCAATTTTTATTTTGTTTTATCTCTATGTATTTGTATTGCAAATGTTTTCTGCAGCCGTGCAACCTTGTAAGTGTCTTATGCTCTACACTTCTTTAGAAGATTTTTCTACAATTTTGTAAATATGTGAAAAAAACTCTTGGAAGCCACTATACAAAGTCTCAACATACATAAAGAAACTAAGCCAATTGCCAGCGGCTTTTTGATAAGATTGCCACACACAAGCCTGCCCCCTTTCATTGCACGCTGCTTTCATAGTAACACTGACAAGTCAAAAGCTTACTTTCATTCGTTGATTAATATTTTACAAGCGACGTTACGGGTTTTGGCTTTTTTTTTTGTTTGGCTAATGCAGCTTTGCGCTTTTTATTGCTTGGCTGCCTACAAATCACTTACACCCACACACACATATATATATACGTATAAATGTGCCATGAAGTTTAGCCGTGTCCTCGCTGCGCTTGTCAAGCCGCAAGTCTTGTCTTCATCTGCTTTTTACCGCAACTGCGTTAAAGTTTAATTAATTTTTGGCTTTCGTACCAACTACATTGACTTTGGCAAAGCAAAGTATTGAAGTTTGAAGCACGAGCGCAAGCAGCGCGGGCGGTCACGGAAATGTAAGCAGCCATATTGAAATTTGCATAAAGCATAAGCATATGAAAGTATGTGCGTGTGTGTTAGTGGCATATGCTTGTAAGTGATAACGGCTTATATGAGTTTCGTCGTGCTGTCGAGTCGCAAAAGCAATTAAAGCAAAGTTTTCTTTATATTCTCCAGACAAACATGCACTTAGTCATAATTTTAAATGCAGCAAGGTAGGTTATTACACACACACACACATGCATAGAAAGTACATGTTTATCACACACATATATACAAAATGCGACAGCATTTGGTCACAACAAGCTGGCAAGCGAAATTGCATAAACAAATGCTAGAAGCTAACACAAATACACACATATAACAGGCGCACACACATACATAACCAAAAACAAACTTATATAACAAGCACACATACAAATATAAGTCATATACATACATATATACACACAGCTACATGTATACACTCAAACCCACACACACACACACACTTATTTGCGGTACTTTTAAGTAAATTCACATGTAGTTGTGGTGTGGTAAGCGGCAAATACATCAAACTCAACTTTGCCAACATATGGAAACAGTGGCGCACGAACTTTTGATTGCCAATAAGCGTCCATGTATTTTTTTAGCAGACTTTTTTCAAATACAAAATAAGAAAAACCATAAACTTTTGTTGTAGCGAAGCTATAATACCCTTCACATATAAAAAAGATTAAGTTTCCATACAAGAACTTTATTTTTGTCGGTCAGTTTGTATGGCAGCTATATGCTATAATGGACCGATCTGCACAATTTCTCCGGATATTGCAGAGTTGCCTTCAGCAATAATTCACGCCATATATCGTGAAGATTTTCTGTCAAATAAAAAACGTTGCATACAATGACTTGATTTGGATCGTTCAGTTTGTATGGCAGCTATATGCTATAGTGGACCGATCTGAAAAATTATTTCAGATATCGTAGCATTGCCTTAGAAAATAATCCATGCCAAATGTCGTGCAGATATCTCAACAAATAAAAAAGATTTCCATACAATGACTTGATTTTGAACGTTCACTTTATATCGCACCTACATGGTATAGTGGACCGATCTGCACAATTTCTGCGGAAATCGTAGAGTTGGCTTCAGCAATAAGCCATGCCAAATGTCGTGAAGATATCTTGTCAAATAAATTACCATACAAATACTTGATATTAAACGTTCAAAGGAACTCCGACGTTTCCTTCTGGATGTTAAAAACTTCGTGACAAACTTAAGCTACCCTATGCAGGGTATAAAAATAACTTTTATTTCATATTATTTTTGTATTTTCACACTTAGCAGACAGCTGCGTGTTTTTAACGCCACAACTAACAGCAGCTCAATACAATTTGGGCACGCTGACAGCTTTTCGCTTTTACGGCAGCAATGTATTGCTGCTTGGTGTGGTTACAATGTGGCAAAAAGTTTTAGTTGCAGGTGTCACAGGTGTGCGCAAATATGGCTTTCCTGTTTTGTTTGGCAGCAAATATTATTTGGGTGCAATTTAAAATTGTAGAAGTGCACCGGCGGCAGTAGGTTAGTGGTTATTTGTATTTATGGCGTGTGAAAATTATATGTAGCTGATGTGACTGCACTTTGGCGAGTGTGGTGTGTGGACGGAGAGTGTAAATATTATGCAAAATAATTTTTGGAATGCACTACTGACAAAGCGGGTTACGGATATAAGTAAATATTTAAAATTGAAGCATACTTTTTGGCTGATACACTACACTAATTTTAAGTAGATTCGCAAGTTTTTATTGCATTTAAATCGAATTGGTGTGAGTTTCTTATATATTT